TTTGGATAAAATTAAAGGTGGGAGCATTGTAATTAATTTGTTCACAATAACAATTGAGGTGAATCTGCAATTTTAAGTTGTAACGTAACATGGTGTGCTGGAAACAACTGCAAAAAAATAAACTTGAGATAAATTGTAAAGATTAAATTGCCTTTAATACCTAGGCTTGGTATCGCCCAACCATTTCAATAATTTATGATTTGTGACTCACCCGTTTGTCTCCTGTGAGTGTCTGCCTTTGTGTTGGATTGCACTGTGGGTGGGGCACAGTCCTTCACCTCAGCTTCTCAATTTTTTAAATAAAAGCATTCTCCTTCAATCTTATTCATATCTAAATATTTAGTAGTGTTGCCATCATCTCTTTACCGTGTGTAACATTGTTCACTTCTGCTTCTTGGCCATCAACAAGTACCATACAATACAAATTTACATTTATATAACTCCTTTCATATCAAAAGGACATTCCAAAGCACCCGAACTGGGGAAGGAGCCGATGGGCAAAAGCAGGAGGAAAATAACCACAAACACTCTTATCTATGTTTACAATATCTTTGTCGTTTCTTATGCTTAATCTGGTTGAATGAAATTTATATTGTTGCCTCCACATTTCCATCCAGCAGTTTAAATTTCCCACCCTCTAAGGTGCAACTGATAGGTCTGTCAAATTCCAAATACACTTTAGATATCTGTATAATATTGTTTGTTCCCACAGTCATATTTAAAACAAACCAAAAAGAATTTCAAAATCTCTCACCACTATGCTCTCACTGTCTTCCTCTCTAACAGGCTGCTCGTTTTTTTTTAGCAGGACTGTAATAACCATGTGACTAATTTTGTCCTATTTAATTCAGCATCCCAGTTTTATCAAAATAGGAAGAGTAATAATAATAATCTTGCATTTGAAATGGCACCTTATTACGCCATTGAGACGTCTCAAAAGTGTCTCAAACCTAATGGATTAGGTTGAAAGGTGCACGCCAGCATTGTGTTCACCTCTTCTATTCGAGCAGATGTAAGATAAATCCAAAGCCCATAACTGAATTACAGTCCTGTTACTCCTGTGTATATCCAATAGGTATGGCAAGAGATAAGTGAAGAATGTAAGCACGTCAAGGAGATTATTACAACGCTGGATGGCTTTAAACATGAAAGTTCGCCTTTGCAGGCTGTACGCCAGGAAAGACCAGCTCAGGATTTAGAAGTCTGGTCACTGCCAGTGCCTGTAGAACGCAAGTATGTGAAATCTTGTACATTTTTGTCTAGCAAACTTGGTTTGTCACATGTATTTGTTCTAATCACATTAATGAATATTAGTGTTCTATTGTGGTTACAATAGACTTTAGTTGAATAGTTTTATGAGTTAGCTAAAGTATTCTCTAAGTACCATTGAGATGTTAGGTCTTCAGGGTATAATCTCTTTCAGGTCTAACTGCTGGTAGATATTTAGATCCCGTAGCACTATTCTAAAAGTAAAAGGGTTGTCCTGGGAAAGAATCTCGCAGGTTAATCAGTAATTCAAATGCAAGTACAGTCCAACTCATTGATGGCTGTGAGACCTTGCTGTATGCAGAATGGTTGATGGTTTGCCTTAAAAGCAATCACTACAAGCTCTTTTGTTAGATGTAACCTCCGTAGATATATAATGTAATATAATTCCCATGTAACATCCACTGCATAGTTCAAAGTTCTATACATTTACACAACCCAGAGAAAAACATTTCCATGAGAAAGGCCTTCCCCCAGATAGGAGGAAGAATTGCTCTTCTTGCATCTTTGGGTATTTGTTCACTTTGTCTGGTAGTTGCTATAAGACTTTATACCCTTAACCTTTTTGGAGTTTAAAGTCACCTTTCCATTCACATTCTCACAGCCAGGTCCTGCTAAGTGATGTTGCAAGAAATAGATAAAGAGCTGAGAAGATTAAATTCCTTTAGAACAGAAGAATTGCTGCTGTCAGAAAGGTCACCTACTCAATAAAATAATCCTTACATCTGATACCGTCATGTTGAGACATCATAATTTGTACACTTTAGTGAGCCACAAACAGCCATGAAATAAATGACCAATTTTATCTGAGGGAATGTTGGCCAGGACACCAGGAGAAAATCTCTTTTCGAACAGTCATGGGATCTTTAACATTCACCTGGCAGAGGGGATTTTGGTTTAACATCTCATTCGAAGGAAGACACCTCAAATAATGCAGCATTGCATTAGAGTGTCAGCCTAAACTTTGAGCTCAAAGTCCTCACTAGGGCTTGAACCCACAGCCTTCTAACTCAGAAGCAAGAGCGCGACCATCGGAGCCAGAAGACACACAGAGTTGACAAATATCTAATACAGGGTGACCAAAAAGTCACCCTAATTATCTACCCTAATTATCTAAAAAAATCATAATTTCTTTAAGACTTATTAGACATTGTAATGGTATCACAACTTTTTGGTGCCCTGTATATATTGTGTATAGTTATAGCGTGCAAGTTAGTTAGTAAGAAGCATTAAGATGACGGTGGTTCACTCAATCTGACCAAGCTGATTTGTATACTCTTTGTAGACCATCGCCTCATCCAAGAAAACGGCAGTCTACTCCCTGCAATGACCTCAAACCTCAAAAGGACCGTTCAGGAGGTCCAGTTAAAGGTTCTGGCCGTCCATCAAACCGAATAGGAAACAATGACCGAGTCAGACCAGTCAAAGGCAAGGAGAGGAAAGAAATTCAAAACAAAGGAAAGGAGGAAAAGGTACAACTTCTCTAGCGTTGAAAATCGTATTGCTGTTTGTTCCTTACTCCCTAGCATGGAATCAGTTATAATGCAGTTGCAACGTGTGCCCAATTGACAGGACATTTGTGCAGCTGATCTGCTCTCAAACTAAAATGGCTAATTTCTTAATTGTCGGCTGAAATTAATGATCCAGAAGGTGTGTATTTTAGCTTCCTACACCTTAAATATGGCTGACTTCTGTGACATCGGGTCACCACCAACTTCCTGCTTTACATACACGCAGCATAGGAGAAGACATATTGGCAGCAATTTTATGATCTGGAAGTTTGTCATTTTTTAGTGCAGGAACTGGCCAGCCAACACTGAAATCGGTTATCTATCCCAACTGCCACATTATAATGGAGCTTCACTGTATGTATTATATTCTAATGGGCATTTACTGGTGAGATACTAGACCTAAAATCTGATTTGAGACTTGTATGGCAGCTTTTTGTAGAGAACCTTTTTTCAGGGAACAAGAGGGATAAAATCAAGAAATAGTCTTTAGGTGAAGATTATATTGTAAACGACTGCAGATTTTAAAAGAAAGTGAATATTGAGAAGGAAGGAATTATTGGGATCTCGTAAGAAGAATGATACAGGCTACAGTATAGGTTAACTCCACTTCCAATTATGCCATAGGTAGACTTGAATAGATGTATATTTCCAACTCTTTGGGGTAAATATATTTTAATTTTATATTAAAATAAAGGTATTTTCTGTAGAATGTGATTAGGAAATCATCAGACATGTGGATAAGTAGATTTTTTTTATTGTTAATTGTAGTCTAAACCTCCTGAGACCTCTGAAAGTGAACCAAGAAAATTTGATAGCACAGGATATGATCGAGATCTTGTAGAAGCTCTGGAGCGAGATATAATATCACAAAATCCCAATGTTCGATGGTAAGTAAATTCATTGGCATGTCATGGTACCTTCTGAACAATTTGTTTTAAAAGAACAAGTGATACAACAGTTTGATCTATGTCTACAGTCTGAGACCTGATCTTTCTTATAGTCCTATCCTGAAGACCAGTGTCTTAACATTTAAGATCTAGCAGAATCATGGAAAATTATTAAATCTAGTATTAATTTTGAAGCTGGTTTTCTGCAGATTTTTCTAAGAAAAAAATGAACTTCTGAATTGAAACTAAATTTAAGTGTTCTCCAAATTCTGCCTGATCTTAACATTTTAGGATGATAGTGTTCAGTCTTTAAGACGCAGGAATTCTGGTGTGTACGCTTGAGAGATATAATTAACAAATTGTTAAAATAATCAAAATACACTGTCCTGTTGTACATATTTTTGTGATGTTTAATATGTGCCAAAGGTCAATTCCATTGTGCTCATTGTAAAACTAAGTCAGAATTCTAGATTTGTAAAATTCTGGAGTGTGTAAACTT